TCCTCCTCCTGGTCCTCCTCCTCCTCCTCCTCGTCCTCATCGTCGTCCTCCTCCTCCTCCTCATCCTCCTCCTCCTCCCTCGCTCCCTCCCTCCCTCCCTTCCTCCCTCCCTCCAACCATCTCTCCCTCCTCCTCCTCCTCCTCCTCCTCCTCCTCCTCCTCGTCCTCGTCCTCGTCCTCGTCCTCGTCGACGTCCTCGACCTCCCTCCTCGTCCTCCTCGTCCTCCTCCTCCTCCTCCTCCTCCTCCCTCCTCCCTCCCTCCCTCCCACAATCTCTCCCTCCCTCCTCCTCCGCCTCCTCCTCCTTCTCCTCGTCCTCCTCGTCTCGTCCTTCCTCGTCCTCGTCCTCCTCCTCCTCGTCGTCCTCCTCCTCCTCCTCCTCCTTCTCCTCCTCCTCCTCCTCCTCCTTCTCCTGCTCCTCCTCGTCCCTCCTCCTCCTCCTCCTCCTCCTCCTCCTCCTCCTCCTCCTCCTCCTCCTCCTCCTCCTCCTCCTCCTCCTCCTCCTCCTCCTCCATGCACCACCACCGTGTCTGGCCAGGGCCACCCTGGGCCCCTGGTATGGTGAGCGCGCCCTCCTTGACGAGGCCAGGAGGCGCTGCCTGGGTGTACCATGCTGGGGCCCAGGGATGGCCCTTGCCGGGCATGCTGGTGATGCATGGAGGGGGAGGAGGAGGAGGAGGAGGAGGAGGAGGAGGAGGAGGAGGAGGAGGAGGAGGAGGAGGAGGAGGAGGAGAAGGACAGGGAGGAGGAGGAGGCGGAGGAGGAAGAGGAGGAGGAGGAGGTGGGAGGAGGAGGAGGAGGAGGAGGAGGAGGAAGAGAGGAGGAGGAGGAGAGGAAGGAGGAGGAGGAGGAGGAGGAGGGCGGAGGAGGACGAGGAGGAGGACGAGGACGAGGAGGAGGGAGGAGGGGAGAACGACACTGCCCGCTGGAGGCACCTGAGGACGTCGTTCACCACGAAGTAGGCGGGGTACGGCTCCGTCCGCTTGCCCAGCACAAAGGCCTGAGAGAACCACCGCGTCTCGGGGCTCTGGCTGAACGTCAGGTACCCGGTGACCAGCACGAGCAGGCCCCCCGCGAGCGACTCCTGGGTGTCCACGCCGACGATCTTGGCTCGGCACGCGCTCCTCTCGCGCCCGCCCACGCTGGCCATGATCTCGCCGTGGATCTCGTCGTGGCCGCAGGCGGAGGCGGTGGCCTCCGGCCCAGCCCCCTCCGAGCTGCGCGACAGCTGCGAGTCGGGCCCGTAGAACTTGTACAGGCTCCCGGGGTCGCTCCTGAGGTAGTTGTAGTACTGCTTCACGAAGCAGTGCCCGACTACCGCGGCCGAGAAACCGTTCTCGCCCTCGCCTGCGCCCATGGCGGCGCCCCGTGCGCCGCCAGCTTCGCCGCCTGCCGGGCCCTCCCGCCGCCGGTGCTGCAAAACCCTGCGCGAGCCAGAATCTCGGGCCGGGAGACGAGGAGGGAGGGAGAGAGCACTCTGCGGGGAGAGGAGAGGAGAAGACAGCACAGAAGAGAGGATAATATAATCGCGTGGGGCAGGTCCTCCTACAGGCTGACTCTGGGAGAAAATCCAAAAATTGTCAAAACAATGCACAACACATAGCCAACAATTGTAGAACAAAAGTCCCCACACTATGTTTTGACTATTTTTGAATATTCCTCCTGTGGAGGGACATGCCCGACTTGAGAATATAATCTATCCTTCACGGTGCCTCTGGCACGTCGTGGAGTGCCGCCAGGTCATTGAGGGTCTCTGGCGTGCGACGAGCGCTAGAAGAGTTGGAGGGGGTGAGGGCAGCGGGCCCCCGCTCTCGGGGGCCCCCAGGGACTCGCAAGGCTTCCCGTGCGGCTCCTCCCGAAACCCAGGAACTGGAGGCCTCCCAGATGGGGGTCGGCGCAGATGGGGGTCGGAGGATTGCGCCGCATCGGCGATGCATCGGCGATGTCGACGTGAAGCAAATCGGGCTCCACATGGAGCCGCACCGCCGATGCATTGTCGATGCGGCGAGTTCCTCCGACCCCATCTGCGCCGACCCCATCTGGGAGGCCCAAAGGAACATGGTTGAGAATGCAGGTGTCCAACAACCAACCCAGGCCCCCAACGCCTCGAGAAGCTCGAGGCGTCTGGTTTGTTTCGCCCGGCTCGGCCCCTGCGTGCCATCGCCAGGCCTCTGGTGGCGGTCCACAAAAGACCCAGGACGCAACACCGACCCCGGGGAACAGGTCCAGACCTCTCCTTCTCTTCCTCCTCCCTCCCCCTCCTCCTGCTCCTCCTGCTCCTCCTCCCTTCCTCCCTCCTCCCTCCCTCCCTCCCTCCCTCCCTCCTCCTCCTCCTCCTCCTCCTCCTCCTCCTCCTCCTCGTCCTCGTCCTAGTTCTCGTCCTCGTCCTCGTCCTCGCCCTCGTCCTCGTCCTCGTCCTCGTCCTCGTCCTCGTCGTCCTCCTCCACCTCCTCCTCCTCCTCCCTCCCCTCCTCCCCCTCCTCCCTCCTGCCTCCTCCTCCTCCTCCTCCTCCTCCGACCCCGGGGAAAATGTCCACGCCTCTAGGGACCCCGCATTCAGAAGCTCAAGACAGCGGAGGTCTGGGTAACTGCAACGGGGCGCCAAGCATACGGTCCCTTCGGGCTCTTGGAGCCGTCCTGGGCCATCTTGAGGGACCTCGGGGCCCTGCGTGCATCAAGCAAAAATTAGACCAAATATCTTCATGACCAGGGATCGGAACGCAAGAAAATGAGATGGGGACAATCGGAGGCAGTCTGAGGCAGGGCCGGCGAAGAGTATCGGAGGCAACGGGACGCAGCTCCAAGGCCAGGTACAGTCGGGGACCAAGGCCAACAACCGAAATTCCCGGCGTCGGGAGGCCAATCCCTCCCAGACTGGTCAGGACCCCGTCAGTGCAAGCACCAGCTCAGAGCAGAGAGGGGTGGGACGGGCAAACTTTCAGAGCTGCGGTGCCTGTCCTGTTCTCGCCTCGTCGGCCTCAAGGTGGCAAGACGGCCTCAGACGGCCCTTCGACGGCCCAAGACAACGCCAAGACGACCCCCAAACACCTACCACACGGCCAAGCAGCAGCATCAGCAGTAGCAGCATCAGCACCAGCATCAGCATCAGCATCAGCACCAGCACCAGCACCAGCTCCATCATCATCATCATCATCATCATCATCATCATCATCATCATCATCATCATCATCATCATCATCATCATCGTCATCGTCATCGTCATCGTCATCGTCATCATCATCACCATCAATAACAACAAAAACAACAACGACATCATCATCAGCAACGCCATCAATAGCACCACCACCAACATCATCGTCAGTATCCTCATCGCCATCACCGTCATCGACAACGATATCATCATCATGATCAACGTCGTCATCATCATCATCACCATCATCGTGATCACCATCCACACCACCATCATCGGCACCACCAACACCACCATCAACATCATCATCAGCATGACAACCATCAGCATCATCATCATCAAACGTAGGCATCAGCATCACCATCATCATCACCATCATCATCATCCTCAGCAGCATTATCAGCATTACCATCGTGATCGACATCATCATCATCATCACCACCACCACCATCATCATCATAATCAGTATCATCATCCTCATCATCATCACCATCACCATGATGATCACCATCACCATGGTCATCACCATCACCATTATCATGGCCACCATCACCCACCACCATCAGCATCACCATCATCATCATCATCATCATCATCATCATCATCATCATCATCATCATCATCGCTATCATCACCACCACCATCATCAGCATCAGCATTATCAGCATCATCAGCATCAGCATCATCAGCATCATTAGCATCATCAGCATCAGCATCAGCATCAGCATCAGCATCAGCATCAGCATCATCATCATCATCATCATCGTCATCATCATCATCATCAGCATCATCATCATCATCATCATCATCATCATAATCGTCATCGTCACCACCATGAATATCGTCATCGTTATCTTCGTCATCATCATCAGCAGCATCATCGCCATCATCAACGTCATCGTCATTGTCATCGTCATCACCCCCACCATCCTCAGAATCCTCATTATCATATCACGGCTCTCCCAAGCCTGGAGACACGAAGTGTCACACTTGACGTCTCTCCGCGTCCCCATCGAACAGTCGCCACCCGGAACGCTGGGCTGGCACGGTGGCGGGACTCGCCGTCGGCAGCTGTATACACATATACATACATAGATGGGAGGAACGAGAGAGAGATAGAGAGAGAGACAGATAAGCGACTGTGCGGACGCCGTCGCGCTAAGCGAAAACGAGCTCACAAGAGGCGCCTGGCTCCGTAGTGCCAAGCACACTCCCAGAAAGCAGACCCCCAAGAGCCCACCCCTCACGGGGATCGTGGCGGGGAAAGCGCGAAAGCGCACGGCGATGTGCCAGGCGAGGCGTGATGAATACACAGCTCCCGTCGGATCACACATCGCCGCGAGAAACTCTCCATTAGAGATATGAAAGCACCAGAACATGAGCACCGCGCAAGGAAGAACTAGATTTCGGTTTGGCATGTCCCCTTACAGGCGGATTTTGGCCGAACGATCGAAAATAACAAAAAAATACCCAACGAATAGCCAACAACAGTCAACACGTAATCCCCAGACTGTATTTTGACTACTTTTGAATATTCCTCCTGTAGAGGGACGTGCCCGATTGAAAACTACAAGCCTCGTCAACAATAAACAGAAGACTTCTGAGTTCGGTGATTGTGGGGTCGGCGCTACTCCAATGCTGACCGATGCCTGTTGACTCGGACGCGGCATTGTCCAAAAACCGACCCCACCCTCTCGGCATTGAAGAACGCGCTTTCTGACAGGTGCCCGACAACATCGTGCCCCAGGATCTCAACTTCCCTTTCTTGATATGTTTGACGAGGCCTGTAGCAAGAAAAGAGAGAGAGAGAGAGAGAGAGAGCAGCGACAAGAGAGGCGGCGCCGCCGTCCTGCACACCGTCAGAACACCCGCTCGTGGTGGTGCGCTGCGGCCTTCCAGAGGAGGGGCCGCCGCCCGCCCCCCGCCCTGCAGGGCCTTCTCCTCTCCCTCTGGACGCCTGCCTCCCGCTCCCGCTGCCCCGGCTCCTTTTAGGTCGGGCATGCCCTCCTGCAGGCGGCCCTCGGAGGAAGCACAGGGGATGGGCAACAAATACTCAATCATGGCCAAAAAGACAGTCGAAGCGTTGCCCCCAGACTATTTTTGTTGACTACTTTTGAAGTGAATTTTCCACCAGTAGAGAGGCATGCCCGACTTGATGCAATCCCTCCTCGTCCTCCAGACGCCTGCCTCCTGCTTCCGCCGCCCTGGCTCCTCTTAGGTCGGGCACGTCCTCCTACTGGCGGACTTTGGAGGAAACAAAAGATAGGCAACACATGCTCAAGAACAGCAAAAAAATCAGTCGAAACGTCGCCACCAGACTATTTTGTTTGACCACTTTTGACCATTTCCCCAGGAGAGGGACATGCCCGAGTTGACGCAGGCCCTCCTCTCCCTCCAGACGTCTGCTTCCCGCTTCCGCTGCCCTGGCTCCTCCATGCCGCCCCTGACTTCGCGCTTGCGCACCGCGCGCAGCGAGAAACGCGCAGCGAACTCGTGCTCTCCCGCGTTATCCGGGAGGAAGGCATCTCCCCGGCCCGGACCGCGAGACGACCAGCAGAACACACTCACACACTCACACACTCACACACTCACACACTCACACACTCACACACACACACACTCACACGCCGACGACGACGACAAATGACGACGACGGACGACGGCGACGGCGACCCCCGGACCCGGAGTCGGATCCAGCCTCGAACGCCCCCACCGAAACGAAACGCAGGACGGACCGCCAGGTTTCGCTCTCCTCGGCGTGCGATCGACGAGGACGATGGCGGCGGCGGTGGCGACGCTCGCTCAGACGGCTCAGGTTGTTCTGGGCCCGCCGGCAGTAGCCCGGAACCCTGCTCCCAAGAGGCCCCGGAAATCCATCTTGGTGCTGGGGGCTACTCCGGGGGCAGGCAGGCACGCGGGGCGGGAAGGCGGGCAACCTCCGCAGTTCGGGTGCGCGCAGACATGGATTGGCGATCCATGGACTTGGCGCGCGGCCGCCAAATCCATGGATCGGGGGAGGTGCCCTCCCCAAATTGCGGCCGGTGCCGCCTCGCTCGGCGGCGGAGGCCCACGATTTCCCATGGAAGCGGGACCCGTCGCTAATCCACGCCCCCTTAATCCATGATTTCGATCGCCTGACTCCCCCCCCTCCCTCCCCCCACCTCCCTCTGGCACCCCTTGCCGTCCTGATCTGTCCTCCCCCCCTTCCACCCCCTCTCGTTTCGGACACCCCTCCTCGCCTCCCCTGCCGTCCCCGTGCCCGCCCTGCCCTCCCATTCCCTTCCTCCCCTCGCCCCCCCCCTCTCCCCCTCTCCTCGCCGCACCTCCCCTCCCCGCGTCCCTCTCGGAGGGAGCGGGGGCGTGGGGGGTGGTGGACGGACGAAGGAAACGGCAGGACGACGGGAAAGGCAGGATGCAGAGGAGAGAGAAGAGGGGGAGAGCGAGAGAAAGACAGACCAGCATATTGACAGACAGGCAAGGAGATGGATGGAGGGAGGGAGGCAGGAGCGTGAGTAACGTTATGATGAGGAGAAGGGAAAGCGCATGTGAGCAAACGGTCAGGCCCAGGGCCCGCAGCAATAGGCATATCTACCTGATCAGGCGAAGGCCACAGCACAGGGCCAGCCTGTGCCCAAACCTCAGGATTGCGAGCCACAACCTCACGAGTGTCCCTTGGCTCTACGTCTCGAGCTGTCGACGGGCAGGTATGGTGAGGGACAGGGAGCGAGAGAGAGAGAGAGAGAGAGCGAGAGGGGGGCAGGGGACTAAGAAAGAGCGAGAGAGGGGGGGGGTGGGGGGGGGGCAAACAAAAACAACATCCTCTTCGCGTTCGGCATGGCGCTCGTCCTGCGGCCGGCGGAAGATAAGGGCGATGGCAATAAAAAGGTGCATGACAGCATGTTGGGCAACAACGATTTGACACGTCGGATCAAATGAAGCCTCGTTCGTGGGCGCGCAAACATGGATTGGCGATCCATGGATTTGGCGCGCGGCCGCCAAATCCATGGATCGGGGGAGGTGCCCTCCCCAAAATGCGGCCATTGCCGCCTCGCTCGGCGGCGGAGGCCCGCGACTTCCCATGGAAAGGGGCCCCGTCGCTAAGCCACGCCCCCCTTGATCAATGTTTGCGATCGCCTGATTCATGTGACCGGGCTCATCCTAAACTGTGTATTTTCCCCACATGCTTAGTGGGGGTCTGGTTTTCTTCTCTGCCTCGTCGCACCCGCGTCTCCCGCACCTCCCTCCTCCCCTTCGAACACAGCGCATCGCAGCGCATCGCAGCGCAGCGCAGCGCAGCGCAGCGCAGCACAGCACTGCTCAGCACAGCTCAGCACAGCCCAGGGCACAGCAGGCGTGGCATTTTCTCGACATCACAGGGGGGTGCGCACGGGGTGGTCCCTGAGCGCGGCCGCTATCCGTGACGGTCGTCCAGGGCACAGCGAGCGTGGCGTTTCCTCGACACCACAGGGGGTGCGCACGGGGTGGTCCCTGAGCGCGGCCGCTATCCGTGACGATCGCCCAGGGCACAGCAAGCGTGGCGTTTTCTCGTGGCGTTTTGTCGATACCACAAGGGGGTGCGCACGGGGTGTTCCCTGAGCGCGGCCGCTATCCGTGACGGTCGTCCAGGGCACAGCAAGCGTGGCGTGCTCTAGACACCACAGGGGGGTGCGCACGGGGTGGTCCCTGAGCGCGGCCGCTATCCGTGACGGTCGTCCAGGGCAGTGCGGGCGTGGCGTTTTTTCGACACCTCGAGGGTGCGCACGGGGTGGTCCCTGAGCGCGGCCGCTATCCGTGACGGTCGTCCAGGGCACAGCAAGCGTGGCGTTTTCTCGACACCACAGGGGGTGCGCACGGGGTGGTCCCTGAGCGCGGCCGCTATCCGTGACGGTCGTCCAGGGCACAGCGAGCGTGGCGTTTCCTCGACACCACAAGGGGTGCGCACGGGGTGGTCCCTGAGCGCGGCCGCTATCCGTGACGGTCGTCCTTGCGGTATCGGCGGGGCAACGGCCACCAACATCATTCTCACATGCTTCACTTCAGCTAGCATCACCCCACCCATAATATAAGTATGTGGGGTTCCTCGGTAGCGTAATTATTGTTTTCGTTTTGTTCTCGTTTTCCCTCGCGTTTGTCTCCAATCCGCCTTTGCTGCAAAACGATAACGGCCTACGAAATCACCCAGAACACCGTTTAGGTCCAGTCCTGTGACCGAGGTGCGGGGCTGGCCGAGGCCCTGCTATCACCTGACGAATGGAACGTGGTCCGCCCCCCACAAAGCCACTATCGTCACGACTTCGCGTCCTGGGATCCCGCCCCGTGGGCCAAACAGCAGCTCGCCGAAAGGACATCACAGGCGCCGCGTTGGCAAAACAGCGAACTGCGATCGACTGCTGTCCCCCCGAACCCCGAGCCCTAGTATCCACAGTGGTGGCGAAGCAGGCTGAGGCAGGATAGGAGGCAGGATAGGAGGGCGCGCCATGAGTGGGCGGTGGGTCGGATTCAGCCCATGGGCGCGCGAGGTCGCCCCATCTGATGGCGCAGCACGGGGGGGGGCAGTATTGCGAAATTGCGATAACAAGGCGAGCCAGGCAGGCCAACGGAGAGAGAACATAAAGAACGTAAGCGTGTATAAATGCCACAGGAAGACAGATCGCACGCCACGGCCAAAAGAACGCGAGCGTCCAACCCCTATTGGGAAAACACGCTCATAATGATTTGTTTTGAAACCCGCGGAGAAAAACATGGCATAATCTAGTCGCGCACAGGCACCCAGAGCGCAAGGCGCGAAATGCTCGCTTGAATTTCTCCTACAACAATTTGCCATGCAATTTCCATGCCGGTTTCATACTGGTGCGGTGTGCGCCCGAGGAGTACAAGGGGGAGGCAGAGCCAACAAAAATGAACCTGTGCTAGGCTCGACAAAAGGACCTGCGAACATTGCGCCCCCAAACTGCAACAACATCCCCCCCGGGTGCCAGATACTCTTACGCCCGAAGTTCGTGGACATGCTCTGGTCAATTTCGGAGATGCTGAGAGGGACTTAGGATAAGTTGCTCCAATGGCTTCAGAAATTTCAAACTACGTCTATGCTCAGAAGAACTTCGCACAAATGCTCCAAAGATCTCTGCAATACTTCGGCGATGTCCTGAACATAAAGAGGCACGAATCCAGAACTCGTTTGCCAGGGTGCCCAGGATTTCGCTCATAAGCACAGAGGAACAAACCCTTGTTTCGTTCCCTCTCCGCTCTCTGCCACTCGCTCTCCCTTTCCCTCCCCATGCCCCCCTTTCTTCCTCGTCTCCTTCCTCTTCCTCCTCGGTCGGTTGGTCGGCCGGCGCTCAGAAAGATCGATGCGCATGTCTGTGGAGAAAGAGAAGGGATGATAACACGGGGTGAAGAACGGAGCAGCGGCATCAGCAGACCCGCGACTGGAAATACTGTCAGGCGCAAAAGCGCCTTCCTGTCAACGCAGGAACCAAACACACTGGGGCGGGATGGTTCCCAGCTGACGAAATTTGAGAGAGACAGGGGACACGACAGAGCGACTGGAAAAGCGTAACCCTTCCCCCCCACTCGGAGGAGGAGCAGCCCCCCCCCCAACTCAGAGGAGGAGGAGGAGGAGGAGGAGGAGGATGAGGAGGAGGAGGAGCCCCTCCCCCCCAAAAGTACTGCCAGAGGCGTACTCGGGACCTGCGGATTCCGACAAAAGGGCAGGCACTGCCTGGACGGTGGCGCGCCAGGCGGAGCCCCTTAGGCTCGGCAGTCCTTCGCTGCATCGCCTCTCCATCGGGGGAAAAGGATGCTGTGTTCGGGTGTTGCTAGAAGTGCCCCTTGCCCAAGGTGCCCCCAGCTTTTCGCTCCATTCTGGAGCCCCTGGGGCCCTCTGGCCCTCGTGAGGGGTGACCTGGGGGCCGTCTGGGCCACCCCGATAATCCTGGGGGTACCTTGGGCCAGGGGTACTTCGAGCAACACCCGATGTGTGATTGGGTGACAGGGCCGACCGGACCAGCGATTCGACGGAGGAACGAAATCAGTGCCCTCGGCTGTAAAACAGCATACGTCGGCGTTAATCGGATGGTTCGGGCCCCCTGGAATAAAGCATGCGGTCCATTGCTGCTGCATCGTGCCACTAAAAATCCCCATGGATCCCCTGGTGTGAAACAGCCGCGTAAACCGCTGGGAATCGGCCATTCGTCGCCCAGGTCCCACTCAACCTCCCCACTTCGACTGGGCTCCACGGGCGACAGACCATCTCATGTGACCAGGTGATGGGGGGGAAGGGCGGGGGTTGTCACACGTGAGCTCGGGTCACTTTTCCCTGGCTTCCTGGATCAGTGTCGCAGCCAGGGTGAGACTCAAGTCTGATGGGTATGCCTTCGCATGAGCTGTGCCCCAGACATCGTCGCGGGTCGAGTCATGGAGAGGGGGACGGGGACTGTGGTGATTGCACAAGGCCCCCCAAACATATATTGCGACCTGATGTCTATCGCAAGCAAATATACAGAAAATAACACCATGGATTTCAATACTCTCGCTCGAAATTTGTTGTGATGGATCAAGTGCTTCGACGCCCCTTGCCTGGCGTCTAACGCACGTATCTCAGGCAACAACCAGACGCTCGCACACCCAAACGCACATGAAGGAAGCTGGTGCCCCATGACCGCTGGCTCTCCGTGCGCCCAAGTCTCGCAAATGAAAATAATCGAAGTTGGTCGCAATCGGCTTCCTGACGTGACTTGGGCATGTCCTCTGTTCGACAGGCGCCCCAGTCCCCAGAGCTTTGCATCGGGCCGCAGGGATCGAAAGAGGTCTCCTCGCGCTGGGGGCGGGACGATGCGTCGCAACAGACCAGGACTCGCATGGGTTGGGGGGCGCGATGGCGCATGCAACTCTTCCAGACATGATCCTACCTAGCCACGCACAACCGCCCTAGGTCTAAAGATGATTGGCGACGCCTATGCCAGACACGACAAGGTGGGTCGAGAACTGAGCTCGGATCCCTTCCGCGCGTTGGATGTCTCCGTCTCTCCTACGCCCAGACAAAATGAGGATGAGCTTGCAGGGCCTGGCGGGGAGCCTATCAGGAACCAGGTGGCCAAGGGAGATCATCGGGTGAGAGCGTGCTTGGGCATTCGACGCATCTGGCACGCCTCGTGCGCGCGGCGCACCTCAGCGAGCGAGGCGCACCTCGACCTCGAAAGCGTGGCGCACCCGGCGTCTGCTCCGGCTCTCAGTGACCGTGCATCGGATGGCGACCCCACCAGTGCCGGTGCCGAGTCTGGGGCCGTGCTCTTGGAGCGCGTTTCTTTATGTTCGGCGATGACGGGCGTCATGGGGGGGGGGGAGGGCAGGGGGGGGTATGACGTGACGCCCCCCCCCGCCGAGTGGCTCCGGCACCACAGCCGCGCCCGCGCGCACGACGCGACGAGCGACGAGCGACGAGCGACGACGACGACGCGAGCAGCATGTAACTGGCGATCTGCCCCTTGCGCCTGTGTACACCACAACGCTCGCGTGCACCACACCGCGCGTGTGCACCACAGCGCCTGCGTACACCGCAACAGCCGTGTGCAATGCACCGCCCGTGTATACCACCATACTTGGGAGCACTACAGCGCCGGTGTACATACACCGCAGCAGCCATGTGCAACACAACGCCTGTGTACACCACAGTGCTTGCGTGCACCGCAGCGCCTGTGCACGCCACAGCGCCTGTCTACACCACAGCATCCGCGTGCAACGCAGCGCTGGTGCACACCACAGTGCCTGCGTGCACAGGACAGGTAGAAGGAGCATGTACGTCAGGATCTGCTGCGGACAACTAAACGCCACGCCAGGAAAGTTCTGAGAATCGAATACGACGTTTTTCCTTCCTCCCTCCTCCTCCTCCGCCACCTCCTCCTCCTCCTCCTCCTCCTCCTTTTCCTCCTTTTCCTCCTTCTTACCCCCTGTCGTGCGGCTTGGCGTTACAACGCACGTGCGCATCTCAGCGTGCACCGCAGAATGGTCGAATGAATTGGTCCACTTGGTTCTCGGACGGCCAGTTTAGCTGGAGCCTCGTGGACGCGAATGGGTTAGGGTGATGCAGGCGGACTCGGAGGGACTCGTAGATTCCAGCGGCGCTCCTTTGTCCATGAGGATTTGTTTTCCATTGTTTTCTCTGGAATCCACACGCGCTCCATTTTGTCACAAGGGTCCCTTCTGAAATTCTATACACAACAATGGTGCTGTGTTGCACACGGTTGATGTGGTGCACACAGGCGCCGTGGCGTACACAGGCAGTGCAATGCACGCAGGCATTGTGGTGTACACTGGTGTTGTGTTGCGCACGGCTGATGTGGGGTACGGAGGCGCTGTGGTGTACGCAGGAGCTGCTGTGCCCGCAGGCACGGTGGCACAAACTGACGCTGTGTTGCACGCGGCTGCTGTGGTGTACATCGGCGGTGTGGTGTACACAGGCGCTGCGATGCACGCGGGCACTGTGATGTACACAGGCGTTGTGGTGCATATCGCCACCTACATGTTCGTGCTACTCGTCCTCCGTCATTCCTAAGCATTCCCAAACGCCGCCGGCGCGAAACGTGACGTCATCGACCCCCTCCCCCCCCAAATGATTGCCGTCATCGGCCCGGACTAAAAAACAGGCTCCAGCCGCGTCCGCGCGCACGACGACGATGAGCGACGAGCGACGAGCCACGAGCGACGACGACGGACGACGACGACGACGACGACGACGACGACGACGACGACGACGACGACGACGACGACGACGACGACGACGACTCCTGCGAACCAGACACCTCTGCGGTTTCCTACGCGGATCCCAATGCGCACGGCGGCAGTGCCCGGAGCGCACTGGGGGGGGAGCGTTACGTCATAGGGGGGGGGGGGAGCGGGGGCCATGACGCCCGTCATGCCCCAAGCAATAAAGAAACGGGATCTTACCGAGCCGCATCGCCCTCACCGCACCGCAAACCAAGCACAGGACGCCACATCCGTCACCTCCCCCTTCAGCCTGATTCCTCATTCTCCTCCCCCACTCCTCCTCCCCCGCCTCCTCCCAGTCATCCTCATCCTCCTATCTTTCTAGCACCTCCTGCTCTATGTCCTTTCCGTGTGTGTAGCGGAGTGAGCCTCGAAAAACGAGGCCCCTCGTCGTCGTCGTCCTCCTCCTCCTCCTCTTCCTCCTCCTCCAACTGCTCCGAGACATCGCCAGCCCAAAAGAACCAGGGCAGCGCCTGATTTGTGGCCCCACTTGTGTGCGAGCAAATACTCCACTCCCAGGACCTGGTCAACGCAATACGCTAATTTCGCGACTTGGCGTTGCATTTCGACTCTGCTCGAGCCTGCTCAGATCGCCACCCAGCTTTGCACCATTGCACGTCGTGCGCGCGTGATCGCGAACGTGTTTTGCATGCACGCACTTCGTGTTTTTCCGACCCGGCGCTCGCGCAGATCGGTCTGGCGGTCACAGGTCTACTGTTCGGCGGCGAGCGAGGGGGAGGAAATGAGAAGGAGAAGGCCTGCTCAGAAGGCGGCGGGGCTTCTCGGCATTTTCGGTGTCTTTGGGGAAACTTTACGTAGACAATTTCTCAGAAGGCCGGGATGACAACGTTCAAACGAAAGCGGGCGGAAACTGACCGCGTGCGTTTACGTACACGTGTTGCTGGCCTCTGACCGAGCGAAATGTTACGCCACGGAATCACTATTCGAAGATAATGTAAGACGAAACTGGGCAATCAACGGGAACCACCACGATCGAGAACATAGCCCTTGGGCTTTAGACCCGCATGCATCCTTTGTGCCAACACCCAGGCCCTTTGACAGAGAATGGAAGTGGTTCGGGCCTCTCTGTCCGACTCTGGCTGAAAACCATCCAGCGGAACACCAGCCAGATGTGGCCTGGGCGGAAAAATCAAATTGTACAAGTGAACGGCACCAGAGAAGACATGTCATGAAGCTGGATTCGATGAGAGAGTTGTGGGCGAAAACGACTCACAGGATGAGACAAACGGCACCGACAGGACCACCCGTTGGGTGATACGGGTATTTCTGTTTTGGGGGGGATACCACCTGCTCGAAACCATCGACCAACCAAGAGCACGACGTCTCAGTCTCGCAACCGCACCCCGACAGGCCCTGCTCCTCATCAGAGCGCACGCTTGCCAGACTCGCACGTCAACCCACAGAAGGATCGCAATTGCTCGGTGCCGACGCCCCGAGTCAACCGTACCGCCTGGACACGGCAGCCCCGCATGGTGCGTGCACGCAGAGTGGCGAGAGCGGGCATCCTGGCTGCCATGTGCGTGGGCGAGGGGGCCCCGACCGTCAGTGAAGAGGGAGCTGGCCGCGGGGGCAGATCTCGTCGGAAGCGATCCGCCCGCCGCCAGCGCCGCTTCTCCTCCTCCTCCTCCTCCACCTCTTTCTCCTCCTCCTTCTCCTCCTCCTCCTCTTCTTCTTGTTATTCTTATTATTGTGTTTCTTATTGTTATTAGTATTGCTAGTATTATGATCATGCTTATTATTATGATTCGTATTATTCTTCTTAGTTTTATTATTAATCGTCTTATTCTTAGTATGCTTATTATTATTCTTATTCGTATGCTTATTTTATTAGTATTCGTATTATTATTATTATGCTTCTTATTTGTCTTATTCTCCTTCGTCGTCTTCTTCTTATTCGTCATCGTCGTCGTCTTCTTATGAGTATTATTAATCCTCTTCTTATTATTCGTCGTCTTCTTCTTATTCATCTTCGTATGTTTCTTCTTATTCTTCTTTGTCTTCTTCTTCGTCTTCTTCTTTTTCTTCTCCCTCCTCCTCCTCCTCCTCCTCCGCCTCCGCCTCCGCCTCCGCCTCCGCCTCCTCCTCCTCCTCCTCCTCCTCCTCCTCCTTTCCAAAACAGCATCCCTGGGTCGCGGGCGGGGCGCGAGGCCTAAAAGTAAAGAGCTACAGCAGGGACCCTTCTACAAGCAGCCCTCCACAAGGAAACGCAACCCTGAGACCCCAAGGCGTCTCCATGGATTCTTGGTGCGGGAACCCCACGCGTTCCATCGCAAAACCATCGCAACCCAAGGCACCCTGGAGGCAAGCAGGGTGTTTCTTAGCACGGGCCCCCACTGTAACAGAAGGAGTACAAAAACGCCATAAACGTAAACTTTTGGCGCTCCGCGCGGAGTTCTTGGATCCGCGCTGTCCCCCCCAAAACAAGTTTACGTTTATTGCGGTATTCTTCTTCGAAACAGAGACCTCCCCTGGTGCCGTGCTCTCTTGGGCGACGAAAAGGAACGGGCCTTACGCGAGACGGCGTAGCGACCTTACGCGGTGGCTTACGCGGCGCGCCAGCGTGGCAGGTGACATTCAAAGCGAGAGCGCTCACGCGCGACCTTACGCGGGCAACTTACGAGCGAGTGTCGGTGAAGACGACCCCTTGTTTGCGCCGCGCTTTGTTTTTTCAACACAACCAGCCCGCTGGGAGGCGGCGATCCTTTAACCAGCCCGCTGGAAGGCAGCGATCTTTTTTTCGCAGAGTAATACCGTGGTATCAGTGGGTCGCGGGTTGATCGCAACTCGTGGGTATGAGTCGCGGGTTGGTCGCGGCGATTGTCGCAGGTGGGTCGCGTGACGGATCCCAGATGGGCATGTCGTGGGGCGACGGCACTTCAGCTACGCACGCAGGGACAGTGCAAAACCCTGACGATGCCCCCACTCTGATGCTAGGAACAACAAAGAGAGGCAAAATCGAACGCAAGATCGAATGACTGTTGCTGATATTTTCTGACAAGTGCCGCGACCCAGCCGCCAAGAAGATAGCCTTGACGTTGATGACAATCCTGTAGATCGTCTCCCATGCAGCAGGCCTCATTGCTTGCTGGCAAGGCGATAGTACCAAGAAGAGTACAGTCGGTGCCGGATCCGATGGGTGCAAGTGTCACTTTCCTCTGGCACCCATCATCACAACCAATATTTAATGTAAACGACACTTCGCAACACTACCATCTCAATAATAAAACCACGCAGCTGACGCACGACATTAGGTCAGACCGATTCAACCTCGACCCTACATACATAAGACGCTCTCGGAGGTGCCGACGTCGAATCTGGATCAAGACCCTGCCGCGTCGAGGTAGTAAGCGATCCCCCGTGTGCTCGAGCCGGTGACGGATATCGCACGTGCAAGAGAAGAGCCAGCTCGGCGGCCCTAGCCGCGACGCGCGAAGGGCAACCATCTTCGAGCCCCTGGGGGGCGACCTGGGCTTCAGGCCGCTGGCGGCCAGCTGGCCCAAAACCGCACCACAGGCAGGAGAGCCCAGAGTCGAATCGACAAGTCGGCTCGGCGATCGAAGCGCATCGGACCGGCGGAAGTCGGCAGCCACGTCGTGAGCAGCCGGAGCGGCAGAGCTCGGCAGGCTCGTGGGCCTCCGCGGGGAGACGGGAACCCCGGAGCGGCAGCCCAAAAGGCGGGCCGAAGCCATCGGAGCGGCAGCCTTCGGAGAGGCGAGGTCGGAGCGCAGCGGAGGAGGCGAGCGAGGCGAGCCCTGCCGCGGGCGGGCAGGGCCGAGGCGGCCGCCGGCCCGGCAGGGGCAGCGCCCCGAGGGAGGGCGGCAGCGCGCCCGGGGGCCGAGGGCAGCGGGGCGAGCGCAGGCGGGGGGGCGCGGCGGAGTGGGCCGGGAGAGGGAAGGGGGGGGAGCCGGCGGTCGGCGGGAGGCTCCTGCGGGTGAGACGTCGGCCAGGTGGGCTCGTCCTGCGTCGGTGGAGGCCCCGGAGAAGGGGGGTAGACAACGGACTGGCTTGACCGAGGCTCTGCGTAGGGGGTGGGAACGGGAATGACAGACACGTGAAAAGTTACTCCGACGGAAAGACCCCACATGATTTCTTCTTCTGGGGCTACTCTGGAAATAACCTTCACTGTCGTCCTCGCGATTAGTGAGGCGCCCTTATTGTGTTCTCTGCGTCGTTCTCTTTCTCGCCCTGGCGCAGGGCCCTCACAGTTCACTCACAGACGAGGCTCCCCGCCTGATACTTCCTCCACATTCAGGCCTCGGGAGCCTCAAAGTGACGACAGTTACAGGGATGAGGATGACCCAGTCGGATTAAAAACATGAAGTGCGGGCCCCATAGGGAGGGGGCTCGCGCCTGAGACTTCCGCACAGTTCACTCACAAACGAGGTTCCCCGCCTCATACTTCCTCCATATTCAGGCCTCGGGAGCCCCAATGTGATGACAGATACAGGGATGAGGATGACCCAGTCGGATTAAAAACATGAAGTGCGGGCCCCATAGGGAGGGGGCTCCCGCCTGAGACTTCCTCACAGTTCACTCACATACGAGGCTCCCGCTTGATACTTCCCCCATATTCAGGCCTCGGAAGCCCCAAAGTGACGACAGTTACAGGGATGAGGATGACCCAGTCGGATTAAAAACATGAAGTGCGGGCCCCCTAGGGAGGGGGCTCCCGCCCGAGACTTCCTCACAATTTACTCACTGACGACGCTCCCGATCGAGACTTCCTCCATATTCAGGCTAGGGGGTGAGTGATGACGAAGTGATGAGTTAGCGAGTGAGGATGATGAGTGGTGATGATGATGGTGATGATGATGGTAGTGGTAATGGTAATGGTAATGATGATGATGATGATGATGATGATGATGATGATGATGATGATGATGATGATGATGATGATGATGATGATGATGATGATGATGATGATGATAATGCTGATGATGATGCCGATGATGATGATGCTGATGATGATGCTGATGCTGATGCTGATGCTGATGATGATGATGATGACGACGACGACGACGATGATGATGCTGATGATGATGATGATGATGATGATGATGATGAGTGATCGAGTGATGATGGTGATGATTGATGATGATGAGGATGATGAAGGTGGTGGTGGTGGTGGTGTGTTCGTGCGCGGGGTGTCCAGAGAAAATGATGCTGAGTGATGAGAGAGTGTTTGTGATGTGCGACTGAGTATGATGATGATGGCGGTGGTGGTGATGCCGATGATGATGATCGATGGCCGATGGTGATGGTGATCGATGGTGAATGACTGAGTATGATGATGGTGGTGGTGATGATGATGACCGATGGTGATGATGACCGACGACGGGGTGAATGCGTGAGTGAGGCGGAGAGTGGGAGGGAGGTGAGGCTCCTGCGCGGAGGGTGTCCAGAGAAAACCAGAACCCCACTTTGGATGCGGGGAAAAACTCGGAGGCCCGCGCGGATCTCTCGGAGCCGCGCTGGACCCACGAGCTCGGAGGTCCGCGCGGATTGGATCCGCGCTGGGCGGCGCCTCCGGCGCCGCCCCTGGCGCGCTGCGCGCGGATCCGAGAAATCCGCGCAGACCTCCGAGTTGTTATGTTTGTGTCACTGGCTGTTCCCCAGAGGATCGTGCCCCCTCGTTCGGTAGAGATGCACGGCTGGAGCTCAGGCCGTGGGCTGCTGGGCCGCTCGCGCGCAGAAGCGCTGCAGTGCTGGAGCGTACGCCGGGGGCTGCTGGAGAACGCTCGCGCTCGGGAATACTCATGCAGTGCTGGAGCGCAGGCCGTGGGCTGCTGGAGCGCTCGCGCTCCGTGCAAAGGCGGTGCTGGAGCGCACCCGTATTTTCGGCATGAGCTGCTGGAGCAATTGCGCGCTGGAGCGACAGGAGGAGGGAGGAGGAGGAGGAGGAGGAGGAGGAGGAGGAGGAGGAGGAGGAGGAGGAGGAGGAGGAGGATGAGGACGAGGAGGAGGGGGAGGAGGGGGAGGCGGTGGAGGAGGGGGAGGAGGGGAAGAGGAGGAGGAGGAGGAGGAGGAGGAGGAGGAGGAGGAGGAGGAGGAGAAGAAACGCATTTTGGAATTCTGGGATGCCGCGGCGAGGGGGGCGGGGCTGCTAGCACTGTTCACGCCTCGCTCTCAAAATGGGGCCGTTGCTTACGCGCCCTACCGCATGCGCCACAGCGCCACGTGTATACACGTCTATGTGTGGGGGGGTGGACGCAGGCGAGTGGTTGAACGCAGGTGCGTGTGCGTGTGCGGGTGGGCTTGTGCGCGTCCGCGTGTGCGTCCGCGCGCGATTAGGAGCACGATTGGGACGGAGCCTAGAGCAAGGGCATGCTGAACAGGGACGCGAGAGGATGAAACCAAGACGTTTACCAAGCACCAATCCCCGATTCATCTGCATGCTCACTGACATCGCACGAGCAACAATACCCCACCGGCTGTCGGCCACCCAATTTCACGCATCGCGCTTCGCGCACCGCACGGCGTTCTTTGCGCCCTCGCGCCGCCGCCCGGGACACGGGCGCCTGAGCGGCCGTGGCCTGGACCCGCGCAGCGCAATGAGATCTCTGAGCTCCGAGGAGATCGGGCGGGCCCCTGCTGGGCCTCGACCGCCTGGACGAGGAGGCAGATGAGGCAGGAGGAGCAGGAAGCCAAAAACACACACAGACGCACACACACATGCACACACACATGCACACACTTTTTGGCGTCGCGGCCATGGGCACGACGTAGATCACCAAAGCGACTCCAACGTAGGACCCCCAAGGACCCATCTAGAAGGAAAGAACTTCTGGGGGCACGCCCAAGAACCCAGGGGGTCCGGTTTCCGCGGAGGGAAGACATCCATGGCGAATGGTTCGAACACGGAAGTTGCCCCCCCTGAAATTCCGGAAGAGGAATGAACTCTCAGCCGCGGGGGTGCCCGCGCGAGGGGTCCCACCCAACCCGGAGGAGGAAAAGCGTGAGAGCCAAGATTGTAAGTGCAATGCAGCAACACTCTAGCAGTGGCTGTACTAGGAAATTTTACAAGTACTAAGGAATTGTACCAGGGAGTCATACTGGGAGTTGC